CCCCCACTTAAATTTGTACATCACGTTGTTGTTTAAGGTATTTAAGGTTGCGTTTGCACTTTAACAAACTATTATTTTTGCCTAACCATGTATCTTTTATAGTTTAATTAATTGTAGTTTTAAAATATTGTTTGTTTTTTTTAAATATAATAATATTTAGATTGCTTTGCTGGCACATCCAATGATAAATTACCTGGAAAACTTTGTAGTAGTCGGTTTATTATTGGTTGTAGATTAAGGTTTACATCCGATACTGTTTTGCTGTAGTAATTGTATGCAAATTTGCGATTGAATCAGTGAGGGATCAGCATGGACGTGAACAAAAATAAAATAGCCACCAGTCGGCTATTTATGTTTGAATCTCGAAAAATATAACGTGCTTCTCGAACCCATTATGCATGATTCTGAAATAAACTTGAAAATCGTCCTGTTCGTCTGTGAAAAGCAGGATGGGAACGTATAGTAAAAAAAATACTTAAAGGGCGGTAGTCGTCGCGCCACGCATGCGCGAGATATATGGGTCTCATATAAACAAATTTGTCGACTTTGACTGTTGCGCAGATTAACGAATACAAACTGAGAGGTTGCCAAGCTTTAATTAGGTATTTTTAGGAGATTGGAAGATATCGAAGGAGTGACCGGCGATAATTAGTGCAAGTCGCGCCCTGTCAAGCCTCATACTTGTGATAAGCGTGACATATTCGCCAGCCAATGACCGTTTATTCAGCCGGCGCCCCCCACCTGTGTGGGATATGTTTACACCGAGCTCATTTGCGAGTCAAAACGCGCATTCAAAACATCGTCCGCGTGTGCGCATAGCCCATAATAACCATGAAAGTACGGATGGGAACGTGTGCTGTTCCATCGATACGTCACAGTTACCCTGTCAAACCCCAATTTCATATTGATAACTTTTGTTTACGTCCCCCACTCATGATGGGTGGATGTTTGTCCATGGCTGCAAAGAACGTTTCAACGCCGGGGTAAGTACACGCACCTTTTTGGTTCATTAGTCACTTATTCTCGGGATCACTCTCGAATGGTGATGAATATGACCCCATCGTCATAACATTATTAGGCATTGAGGTAACTGCAGCTGTGTTTGTCGTTTTCTGGATTTTATGACTTCATTTTTTCCTTCACTATGATAAGAAATGTATTGTATTTGTATAAGAGGCATTCTTGCCCTCGGAACTTGTGTATACCGGTACTAGTAATCACAGTTCCTCGACGTTTCTTAACCCGTTCGCTGAGGGACGGACCGTTGTAATAATAATTATAATAATGATAAAGACATAAGGAATAATAACATACATAAGGAATAATAAAATAGTAATAGAGTGAAAATACTTGTATAAAACAGGAAAAATATTTTTGATAATATTTTGAGGCAGCTGGTAAATTGCTTTTCATGGAGTTCTCACTTTTAGTAAAACAGTTACTGATGAACTTGACAATTGCTTGGACAGATTTAGATTTTTTTAGATGTTATTGAGAAATGCTTTCAGATTACCGGATAAATTTAAGTTTTCAAACAAAGCATCTCTTTCAGCATTGTACAGATTACAATTGAAGAGGAAGTGTTCTTCATCTTGAGTTTCATTGGAGTCACAGACAGGGCATGTTCTATTAGACACATCTATGTTGTGATATCGCCCAACTTCAATGTGAAGTATGTGGGCACTTATCCTGAGTTTAGTCATAGATGATCTATGGATGGAGTTTTTAATAATTTCAAGATATTTTTCAAGGGTAAAATGAGTTTTCAGCTGTCTGTAGGTACGAAGCTTATTTCTGTGATTAGTACCTTCATTGTCATTATATGCATTGTTTTTATGCAGTATTTTTAAGTTTTTTTGTGGCTAATGTGATAATATTATTACTGTTTTTTTTTTGCAAACACCACTAATTTCTAAACGGTTCAGCAACTTTTTAATGCCTGTGGTCCAATTACTGATGTGTTTTTTTTTCCAAATTGGTACCAAGGTTATATGCCTCAGAGATCAGAGTGTTTTCATCCATATGTTTTATTTTCACCCAGTAGTTAATCATAGGTTTGATGCCTGAGATAAAAAGTGGATATCTTCCCAGTTCAAGTAAACATGCCAAGTTTGTTGCTTTACAGTTTACTTGTAGTAGGTACTTACACACTTTGTGATGTAATTTTTCCATAGGCAAGGATTGTTTAAACAAGTCGGTTGAGTGCATGTTAATAATATCGCTTGTCCAGATTTCACTACAGTAGAGTAAAATTGGTTTAACCATAGCATCAAACAATTTCAGATATGTTTTGATTGGAATATTGGGAAAATGCCTTCATTGCTCTGTGACTCTGTATTTCGTTTCAGAGATTGCATAACGTCATACTGTAGACTTGATAGATTTGACGCCCTTCAGACTCCAC